CTCTCTTAAGAATAATGGAAGGGCTGGAGAGAAAGCTCAGCAGTCTAAGCTCCTGCTTGGCAAGTGCAAGGACCGAGGCTCAATCCCCAGTACTGCATGCCATGCCAGCCCCAGTGCGGAGCCAGCCACTGAAACCCAGAGTGCTGGTGCACACCTGTGGCTCTAGCACTAGAGAGGCTGAGACAGGAAAATCACTAGAGTCCAAGCTGCATAACAAGACCCTGCAACAAATAAATAAATGATTTTTTAAAAAAGGAAGAGGAGGAAGAGGATAGAAACAGGGGCAGGTAAGAGAAAGGAGACTGAATTTGAAGGCTCTTGCAATTAATAATCCACACTAGAGAAGATGATGACTTTGAGTAAGGTGAGAATCATTGGGATATGATAAAGTATTTGGATTCTAGATCTAGTTCTTAATATACCTCTGTTTTTAAGTGATTTTATATTTATAGGAAATTTGTAGCAATGATACAGAGTTCTTATATACTCTTTCAACCAATTTTTTCTTGTCTCTAACATTTCATGATATATTTATCTAAGAGACAACATTGGCATGTTATATTAACTAAATTTCAGACTTTAGCTTGGCTAAACCAAATGTTTTGGATCTGCCTTAAGGTAGTGAGCAGCATTTACTGATGAGCTGCAGTAGAAAAAAAACTGAGAGAAGTCAAAGGTATCACTAAGATTTCTATTGAGTAACACAAAGGATGGGAATAGAAAAATAACACTGAATGAGAAAAAACATGGAAAGAACACATTTGGGAGAAACAAATCTGCTGTTTGGATTCATGTATGTTGATATCCACTAAAATCCAAGTGAAGACCTCTAACAGGCAGTTGGACATACAGAGTTCAATAAAGAAGTCTGTGCATATTAGAGACTCTTATAGTACAATTACAAGAACTTAACACTCAACTGTGTGTAACTATGGAGACATTATACGAGACTCTACAACAAATAACGAAGCCAAAAAATAATAATAATAATAATAATGAAGCCTAACTGACCGCTGTGAACACAGGGGAGACAAACAGCAAGCAGAGCTCCCCTAGCAACATGTAGGCATGCCAGCACGTGGTGAGTGCCAGGCAAGGTCAACATAGCTGAGCCCAGCTGCTTACTGGGCAACCCTAACTGCTCATGCCCACATCTAAGTACATAAAAGTAAGGTGGGCCAAATGCTCAGGGCTTTTTGTCCACTAGAGGGAGAGAACCCTGTTGCCCCTCACATTGTGATTAATTTTCTGTCTTTCTGCCTTTGTGCTGCTCTCCTTCCCCACCCATTCCCCTGTTAAATTCATAGGCTGGTTCCTACAGACACTGAAAAGAAATCTCAGACTGCTGGGGAAAACACATAAATAATGATATTATGCAGACTTTCATTTTCAGCCTTTTCCTAATTATATTCACATTACTAAAATTCTCTAGAATGAAAAATCTCAGTGGCTAAAATATCAATAAAATCTCAACAAGCTAACATGTCTTACAAAAAAACATTATTTTTAAAAACAAGATAGGTGGCTGGCCAGATAGCTCAATGGATTAGAGCACCTACTGAGGCAGACACAAGGGTCAGAGGTTCGATCCCCCACCTGCTGCGCCAGCCCCGCCCCCAGGGTGCACTGAGCCTGGGAAGGAGACTGGGCGTGGTGGCACGGGCCTGTAATCCCAGCGCTTGGGAGGCTGAAAACAGGAGAATCACTACAAGTGGATCTGTGTAGTGAGACCGTACAGACCCTGCACTAAATACAAAAAATAAATAAAAATAAAAACAAGATATATATTTAACCTTTCTTAACTAAGCAAAATCTGGCAAGATTATAGGAAATAAAAAAACACAAATTTGAGATTTTAAAATTTTATATACATATATATAACTAATATTACTATATATATTACTAATATTGATGATCCACTATAAGAATGGTAAGAACCACTCTCAAAGTTTAATATTAATAAATGTTTATCAATGAAAATACAGAATAAGCTGTGCCAAAAAAGAAGACTGACACACCAATTCACACGTGACAAAAGACCTTCTGACATCTCTGATTTTAAATGTTTCTGAAGTTTAAATATCAGTATTTTCAGATTTGAACATTAAACAATGAAAAACACTTTTGTGATTCAGTTCCTTTCAAAGAGAAGATGAGTGATGAAAATTAAAAGAGGCCACGACAGAGTATAATGGCAATTTTATACTCTGGCCTTGCTGGGTAAATGGGCTGGAATTTTATACCGTAGCCAAAACACTACCTAAAGTAGGGAGAATTATAGTTTAGGGTGGATATGTATGACTATCAACACAACAGTAACTTTTTCAAGCTATAACTTTGATTTTTTCTTTTAATTCTCAATTTCATAATAATCATTTTCTCTTGCTTACACTTTGAGAAGGTCAGTTGACTTAGCTTTCTCCAACTCACTGATCTAGCACAAAATCCCGGCTTATTGACAATTGTGACTATAAACTTTACTTCTCTAAATGTCAGTTTCTTCATCTGTTTAAAAGCAATGTGTAACTCCTTCTACTTTCCTATTAAGATTATGGGGAACAAATTAAAAATTACATGAAAGTTCTTCATAGGTTGGAAGGAATGCTGTTGAATTCAATGCATCTTGAAATTATAAGAGGACTATGGATATAATTTGTTAAAAATAAAACAGAATGGAGTAGAACATTCTGACTATATCACACATAGTAAAGCTAAGTATTTTGTGAAAAAAAAAATAAATAAATAAAGCTAGGTATCCATGTTACTATGAAGAAATGTAAAATGTTCCTAACTCTAGGAGCCAAGAAACACCCTCACCCTACCACCACCACCACGCACACACAAAAACAGGCATCAGAACCCTCTACTGAGCAACTCTTTTTGACAACCATACCTTCCTGACCTTCAGTCAACAACTAGTTCTGGGAACATACTTTGCACCCACACTGACCTCTACTGAAATTTATTCAATCCCCTTTCCTTATTTGAAAGATGAAGGACACACAAATAACGCCTATGAAAAGCAAATGAAAGTCCTTGTTCATTAGATATTCAGTGATGTGAAGCACCAAGGCATCCCTCTTTTCTGACTACAAACCAACACAATAAGGTAAAGAAGTAGTTTCAAGTAGGCGCTGCAGACAAGAGAAAATGAGCCAGACATACTCAAAGCCAGGCCTCTCCATAGTGAATCTGCTCCTACCTCGGTCATGCTAGGCACGTGAGAGAGGCTCTAAGTCACACCTTATATGGAGTGTTGCCTACAGACAAAAAATAATGTAGGAAAAAAAAACTAAACAATGGGGACAGGTGATATAGCTCAGCAGTACATCACCTACCTGGCAAGTGCAAAGTCCTGAGTTCAATAACCGATACCAAAAAATGATTTAGCTTGATGTTTTTGGGCCAGGGAGATAGCTGGGTAGAATAAGCGCCTGCCTGGCAAACACAGGGTCCTGAGCTCAATCCCCAGTACCAAAAAAAAAAGATGTAAAAAGTTCTGGCCCTGGGAGATAGCTCAGTAAATACACACTTGCCTGGCAAGCACTGGGTCCTGAGTTCAATCACTGGAACTAAATAATAATAATAATAATAATAATAATAATAATAATAATAATAATTTAGTATTTTCATGAGGACTGAAGGCAAATACTACAATCATCAGTATTACAAGGCAGTGCCACCTTGGCTGAGGCTAGCTGTGTTCTGCTCCCTCGTACTACTGTGCCTTTTAATCATGAGGTCTGTTTCACTGATAATTTTCCTATAAACTTCCCCTGACGCCAGCTATTTCATCTCACTAGTAAGGGTCTGGCCTTAGCAGACTAATTATTCCAATTTGCCATTTACCCTCTTTAGCCTCACAGACCAGAATGTCATGTCAGCTACAACTATAACTACAGTAAAACTCCAAGCAGAGAGGCACAGGTCTTGCTTGGAGGTGGAAGCATATACAGAATGTACTCAGGACACAGATGTTAGTTTTATACTGACTAGTTAGAGGCTTTTAGGTTCTTGATGATGGCAGGGATTTATTCGCCTAGTACTAGAGTCTCAACCCAGGATCTTCACACTGAGCTACATCCCCAACTCTTATTTTATTTTATTTTTTTATTAATTTTATTGAGAAACAAAAAGCAATGAGACAGTTTCAAAACCAATTAGTAGGATAGTTTCAATAATTGGTACATTGCATATTGTTGTCTTCGTAGTGGTTATTCATAATACAAGATGCAGACATGATATCCTGTCCGAACACTATTAGTACAAATTTTTCTTCTCATTGAATTAAGAGAAAGTAGCTGTATATCTATCCTATTTTGTATATACAGATACAAAATGGTCCTTCATTTATATCCCCTTTTATTGTTTAGTTTTGTCAGAGATGGGTCTTCCACTGCCATTTAAATATTGTAGGCCCTTATTTTAAATCTTGAGGCAAGGTCTCACTAAGTTACTAAATTGTCCAGGCTTGGCTGGAATTTGTAATCATCCTACATCAGCCTCTCGGAGTGCTGGGATTACAGGCATGCACCACCACCACACCTGGCTGTACTTAATTTTTGAAACAATGAGCTATAGTATTATATCATGTATGAAACAGAATATCATTTTTTTATTACTGGCTTAATTTTATACTATAACCTTCCAACATAAAGCATCAAATGAAGTTTTGGCTTATTTTCAAAATTTGAACATTCTAACCAAATTACTCAATAAGTGTATTTGCAAAAATACTTAAACATGAGCTCTATAGCCATATATCTATTTCTACTCTAAACTTTTCAGTCTCGGGCTGGGGAGATAGCTCAGTGGCATAAGCGCCTACCTGGCAAGTGCAGATCCAGTTTTATCCCTGGTACCACAAAATAATAATAAAAAAATAATAATTAATAATAATAATAAATAAACTTTTTAGTGTCTGATTAAGCTCAATCTACTTGTTATAGCTATTAGCATAACATTCAAGGTCTTTTATTTCAACTTGTACTGCTCTAATTCACGAATTTCTGTCCTCTAAGCTAGAGGTGTAGCGCAGCAAAAAAAAAAAAACCACCTGATTCGCATGCTCAGTGTCCTAAACTGAATCCCCAGCAATACTGTCTGTCTCTGTCTCTGCCTCTGCCTGTCTTCTGTTTTCTCTCTCTCTCTCTCTCTCTCTCTCTCTCTCTCTCTCTCTCTCTCTCTCTCGTCACCCAAAACTCCACCCTATAAAACCAGATAATATCTTGAGACTTAATGCCTGATTTTTGCCTGATGTCCACCTGGTAATTAGTATTCAATTCCACTTAGTATTCATGCATGGGCCTACTTATATATTTCTTCCATTAAGCTGTTAGGTTAATTCAGTCTTGGCACTGTGAGGAATAACACATAGTAGGCACTCAAGAAATGTGGAAAGCATGCAAATATATCCTCCTGGGGCCATCCTACTGCTTATGCTGCATCCCACCCAAAAACCTCACTGCATCTCCCGCACTCTTCTGAATCAGCCCAACTACTGGCATTTAAGATCTATAATGATTCACCAAATCTTCTAGTTCCCTCTTATATTCCTCATGTATGACAGTAAAATCTGACCTACATTTAGCCAAACTAAAAATGGTTTTTCACTTCAAAGTAGTTAACGACGTGAAGTAAGCACAGAGGTACACATCTGGATTTAGACCACTGGTTCTTAATGGGGTTGGCCATGTGTATCTTAACCATACACATATATACTACAAAGAAGCCCATTCTTCCAAAGATTTTGACTGGGGTGGAGGTTGGATGGAAATACTTCAATATATGCATTTTGAGGCATCTTTGATTTTCTAGACCTAACTGAATTACCAGTTCAGAACCTTAGTACTTGAGAACCAGCTTGCCAAAAACCAAAAAATAGTATTCTAAAGATAATAACTCACATTTTTGTAACAATCTACAGATCCCAAAGTCCTTAGACATCTGCTACAGTTTAAATACAAAACGTCCCCCCAAGGCCTCACGCACTCATTGGTGGAACTTGTAGGAGGAGACTGGGTCACAGAGGTGATGCCACCACTGGATTAGTCCACTGAGAGGCTTATAGCTGGGTGTGATGTTGGGAGCAGAAGCCTGATGGAAGACGGGGTCCCTGCAGGTGTGGCCTAGAATACATATATATGCTAAGATAGATATATATATATATATATATATATATGTATTATACATTTATATATATGTAATTTTCTTCCCTTGATCCATCTCTGCTTCCTGCAGTCACAGTTTAAGCCATATATCATCTTCCATGCCACCCTGCCTTGGAGTCTGTGGATTACAGACTGAAACCTCTACAAACTATGAGCCAAAATACAACGTTCCTCCTTTAAGTTGTGGGTGTTGGATGTTATGTTCCAGCAAAGAGAAAGTAACTAAGACAATCACGGCTCATCTTCACATGGGGCATGGAAGGTGTGTTGTACAGAAAAGACTACTGCTGTACAGAAGAGAAAACGAGGCTAAGAAGAAAGATGGCAGTCCCGGACTCCAAAGCTTATGGGCAAGAAGTGAAGTTGGAATTTGTTTCATTGGCACATGCCTCTAACTCTAGCACTAGGAGGCTGAGGTAGGAGGATCACAAGGTGTGGTGGGAGAGGGAGAAGGAGAGGGAGAGGGAGAAGGAGAGGGAGAGGGAGAGAAAGAGGGAGGGAGGGAGGGGGAGGAAGAGAGGGAGAGAGGGAGGGAGGGAGGGAAAGAAGGAGGGAGGAAGAGGAAGAGAGGGAGGGAGGAAGGGAGAGGGAGAGAGGAAGGGAGGGAGAGAGGAAAAGAGAAAGGGAGAGAGGGAAAGATGGAGAGAGAGCAAAAGAGAGAGGGAGGGAGGGAGGGAGGGAGGGAGGGAGGAAGGGAGAGGGAGAGAGGAAGGGAGGGAGAGAGGAAAAGAGAAAGGGAGAGAGGGAAAGATGGAGAGAGAGCAAAAGAGAGAGGGAGGGAGGGAGGGAGGGAGGGGGAAAGAGAGAGGGGGAGAAAGTGGGAGGGAGGAGAGAGGGAAAGAGAGAGGGAGAGAGGGAGGGAGGGGGAGAGAGACAGAGACAGACAGAGACAGAGACAGAGACAGAGACAGAGACAAAGAGAGAATAGAAAACGAAAAAGAAAAGACAAAGACAAGGTACTGGGTTTGTGTTGAATTTCAGTGCAAAGTACTGGGGGGAAATAAATGATGAACTCTAAGCTCTTACTTCTTAATCACATCTTTTTCTAGTAGCTGTAAAGCAACATGGCAATCAATAATGAAGGGGGACTCTCTAGTACATATTACTGATTAACTTCTAACACAGACTATGTAGTAGTCTCATTCATTCTGATTATTTTTGCTTAGATATAACTTAATTTCCTTCTGCCTTCTTTCACTTTATTCTTCTCAAAGGAATGACACTAAAATGTCACATGCCAGTTGTACAGAGAAAGAAAAAACCTGAGGATTAAATGGATGTCGTTACCGATCAATAGTAGTCATGTTTAAAATTTAGACACAATTCATGTTAAAAGCAACTCAGGCTGAATCCTCTGACAATGTACTTTCTACTTTCCGAAGAAAGCTGCATTAATATAAATAAGTGGATGAGCTTAGGAGCGTGTGTCATCTCCAGCCGAAAGAAAGAAGGTGTCTTTATGAAATGAAAATGAAATGTGCCTGTAGAAGGAAGGGACTGATGCACACAGCCAGAAATCAAGACGGGCAAAACCAAACAACTGCTCTTCATTTTACACAGCGGCATCTTATACTCCAAAGACAGATAAACAATATGATTCTTGGTAGAGGAGCCTTCAGGTCTGCGTGTGCTACTATTGCAGCACTCTCCAAACTGCAGAGACAAGTGAACGTGCATTTGTGTCATTTGGGAAAAAGGATTTTTATAAGTTTTAAAAGGTAAAATATCACACTTCTTAGAAAGTGAGAATTTAAAAAGAAATATGTATTTGATGAATATAATAAAGGATTAATTTTCTTTCATAGGTTTCATAAAACATGCATGGCTTTAGGGAGTAAGGCTCCTATTCTAGCATTACAAGAGTTATCCATAACACTCCGTATTCTCAATTTTACAGATTAAAACATTTAGGTTGAATGCACGTATAGACATCTAATCTCACCCTTCATTTTTTTTAAATGAAGAATTAAAATTTTTATTCTATGCAAACTAAACCAATATGCATACATATTGGTACTTAATTGTACTTTAGAAAAATGATGAGAAAAAGGGTTTTAAATCTCTCCGTCCATTTTATAAAAAGTTATCACCAAACAATCACTTGCATATACAACCATCAATTGTAAATACTCTGACTTATACCTAAGAATTAGGATTTACCTAAGAGTCAGGCTCTTTTCTTCTGAAATTCAGTCTCCTTTCACATTCCAAGCTGGACTTGAACTCGCTGTGTAGCCCACGCGGGCCTCAAGCTGGTGTCAATTCTGCCTCAGGCTCCTAAGTGCTGGGTGCTAACGTGCACCCAACACAGGGCTCTGGCTCCATTGGATCTCAGAACACTGTGGCTCCCACAGTTTGTGATGGTTGTGAAAAGAAACTCCTGCTTCCATCATATGAGAAACAAGAACACTATTTTCATAATTGTCTTCCAGTGTAAAAAACTTCACAGACTGATTTACCTTATTAAAAGGAAATGACTCATTGCTACATTTGCTCGAATTATTCTGCTCTCCAGTACTTCTTAAACACAATATAAAATTCTGCACAAACTTTCATCTGGGTTTTCAAACTACTACCACAAAATATCTTCAAGAGGCAGCAGTCCAGGAGATAAAGAAAAAGTAATCGAATTCAAACGTTTGCCAACATTCCTCTTGCTAGTTTTACAACACTGCTCAGGACTGAGACCCAATTGCTTCCTGCGCCTGTCCACTGGGAGCACTCAGTCTTCTTTTTCCTCCAACCTCCTGTTCTAGAGACAGATCTTGCGATGTACAACATCACATCGCCCAGCGTCACTCATCTGTTCTTCTCAAGATTTTAACTCATTATAACAGTGAACTCCATCATTGTGGCACATACTTGCTTCTGAGAACTAGACATACGTTTCCAGTTTTCATATGCAGACTTCCATTTGTCCTGTATCGTAGCACCTTCAGAGGACTGAACACATTCAGATAGAAAAATGTTATAAGCTGTGCAAGCTTTTTTTGGTTTTCCAAGCACTGATAACTCTTTCTTATTACTTCTTTCCTTTTTAAATGTTTTTGTGTTTTATTTTCTGCCAAAGATGTTCTCTGAGCTGGAGTTAGTGCTTCGTGAATGCTCTTCATTTCTTCTCGGTATGCCTTCAACTCTACCTTGAAAGCATCTTCATATGCTTTTTTTCTCAGCATCAGGAAGCTCCTTCCATTGTTCTGCAAGTCTTCCTTACTTCTGTAACTTTTATATCTGAGTTCTGAGCTTTAATTATGTTCATCTTTTCTTCAGCAAATTGAACGTATGAATTCAAAGGTTTCTTCGGATATCCATTCAAGGTGGATGAAAACCATCTTGGAATATACATAAAACTGAAGGGTGAGCGCACTGCACTTCCACAGCCAGGCACAGCTCTGCCCTGGACCTCCCCAGGGTGCTCTCAGCACGCCCACGCACCCCTGAGGAGCGCCATGGCCGCAGCAGACCACGCAGGGCAATGTTCAGCGAGACAAGGACCACCCGCATCTGTGAGCTCACCTTCTGGACTTGTTAGCATGCCCGCCCTCACCCTTCATTTTCAAAGAAAATATTTAGTTGAAACTTGACATACAATCAGAAAGTACACAAATCAAAAGCATGTAGCTTGCTGGGTTTGCACAAGGAATGACCTACATAGTGCCCAGAATAAGGGATCAGAATCAGCTTATTTCTCCACGGCCCCCCAGGCCTCCACATTCTCCTTCCCAGGAATAATCCCTTCTTTTCCTCAAAGAACACCTAACACCAAATACGAGTTTTGCTTTTAAAAAAAGCTTTCATATAAATGAAAGTCTATATTATTACTCTTGTGCTGCCTTCTTTTACTTTACACCACATTTGTGAAATCTGTCTTTGTTGCTGTACATAGCAGTAATTCTTTCATAGCTATACAGTATTTCATAGTATGACTAGGCTATAATTTACCTCCTTTACAACTTGGGTTATATCCCTTGGTATACACCTAAGAAAGGATATGTGGGCCACAGCAAAGGCACTGGCCAGCTTAGAAGCTACTACCAAATTTTCTTCAAAGGGGTTGTATTGCTGGATGTTAGTAAAGACCAAGATAAAGCAAGACCTCTACAACAAGAGTTCTAGTTTTTTGGGTCTGATAAAGTCAGTGAAATGCCCTCAGGATTTATCCTGAGATCCTGTACCTCAGATTGTAGATCCTTTGTCAGTGTCAGCCATGTGGATGAGTCACAGCCATTGCTTGGCCAGTGTGCTCCCTGTGAAAGCCTGAGAATGTTTTCTCTCCATGTGACTCTCCTTAGGCACACTCTACATCATCGATCACTTTCTTCTTTGGCCCCATAATCTCCTTGATCAGAAAAGTTGGGACACTACTCAGTTACATGACGTTACAGTACAAGATCTCATATGTCCTGAGTCTTAATTGATCTTGGAAGGCTGGGGCCAAAATGTTGGCTTTCCTGGCAGCCCTCCTTTTTCTCTAATTTTGGTCTGCAAACTTAGGTTGTTAACCATCCAGAAGAGAAGCTTACTGTTATCACCATACAACCTAGGCTGTTAAGCTTACCCTCACTATCTGTCTGAATATCAAACATCTTAGGCATAACATGGAACAGGTATTTTTCATCAAGTATTGATTTGTTGAACTTTAAGTCCTACAGAATATGATGAAAAAACATTTAAAATAATTAAAATATATTTTAAAAATAGGCATAAAGAATTATATAATTCTATGTTTACACATAAGTCCAGAAATCTAACCATATACGACCTTGTAGCAGGCCAGTCCTGCAACATTCCTTTTCCTGTCTCCTGCCTTCATTCACCACCCCCTTCTTTTTGAACAATCTACCCAAGAAACAGCACGGCAGCAACTGACATGTCATGACAAGCAGGCTGTATTCAGAAAACCAGAATGACAGGCACTCCAAGCATGAACCTACTATTACAAATTGCCATCTTCAGTGCAGTTGCTTAGTTCATAGGTATCTGTATATATAGTTAGTCGGGGTGAGAATCATTCCAATTAACTGCAAGATTCAAAAATTTTCTGGAGATTCTCAGGATCCCTGCCTTACCCATCTTCTACATATAACAGTATGGCTTGCCCCTGTCGTGTTTCCTAGCTCTTCTCCTTGCTCTCTTTTCATTGTCCAGTCCTCAAGCTCTTACTTTCCTTATAGTTGCATTATACCTTTCTACTTGTATTTCTTCTTTTGAGTTCTTATACTAGGGAAACTATACGATATTTACACATATCTGTCTGGTTTATTTCACTTATGAGTATATCTTCAAGTGGCATCCACTTCAATATAAAGGCTTTGAGTTTATCATTCTTTATAGCTGAGTAATACTCCATTGTATAAAAATACCACATCTTTTTCATCCATGCCTCAGGTGACGGGCATCGTGGTTGTTTCCAAGATTTGGCTATCACAAACTGTGCTGCTATAAACATAGGCACACATATATCCCTATGATATGATGTTTTCAGATCTTCTGGGAAAATTCCCAGTAAAGGAATAGCTGGATTAAATGGGATTTCCAGTCCAAGTTTTCTAAGGAGTCTCCACACTGACTTCCATAACAGTTGCACCAGTCTACATTCCCACCAGCAGTGGAGAAGGGTTCCTTTTTCCCCACAGCCTCTCCAACATTTGTTGTTGGTTGATTTCCTTATGATAGCCATTCTTTCTGGGTTGAGATGATATCTCAATGTTGTTTTAATTTGCATAAATGTCAAGTTACCTCTAATCTGAGACAAGTGGAATAAACCATGACTAATTTGAAAGAGCATTATGGGGATTGAATTACATGGTTGTGGTCAGTTTATTAGAATAAACCTAAATGTCTATCCAACTGAGCTGGATCTGTTAGGTCACTTATTAACACCAGTAATGTCTATAGATATACAAAGATAGCTGTTTTTTAGAAATTTATCAATTTTCCCCCAATTTTATCTGCTTATATTTTATTTTCCAAGTTTAATAAAGGAAATATTATTCTATCTTAGTTATTTTTCTCTTGTTGCTGAGACAAAATATCTAACACTCAAAATTAAGGAAGGAAAGGTTTATTTAACTCTCAATTCGTGAATGTTTCAGTCCATAATTGGCTGGTTCCAAGGCAGGGTGGCTTGACTGAGGGCAACAGTTCACGGGAGCTGAAGACAGCAAAAGCAACAAGAGTAAATGGGGAGGAGCAGGCCCCCTTTCTGTTCCTGTGGTGTTTGTAAGCGATCTGCCCTAGGGTGGGTGTCCTACTCACATTGCCAACCCCAGCACTAGACAATGAACCAAGCAATCACAAACTCCAGATTCTTCTGCCTCTAAGACATTTGTGCCCCATGATTGTATGAGGTTTTGAGGGGACCCCCAGAAACAAACCATAACATTATCCAAGAAGTATTAAAATAAATTCCTTTTAAAATGCTTACTGATCATTAAAAGTTTGCCCTAAAGAAGTATGACATTATATTGCATGTTTAAAAGTAACAGGTTTGACCTGTTTTCTGAAAATTTTATTTTTGTTCCTCAAGTTAAATGCTTACCTAGGAGGACAGGTTTAAAATCACCCTTGAAACCTACTGCAAAGCCATCTGTGGTTAGAACCAGGCAGTGCAGACAGATCTGATCTGAGTGCTAGCTCTTTTGTAATCTGACCACATTCAAATAAGGTTACAGTAATACAGTGATGGCAAATCTCTTAGAGATTAAATACCCAAATTGCAACACAAAGCCCACTTAATTATCACAGAACACCAATACTGCAATTACACCTGAATAATGAGATTTTAGTTTAGAAAAAACAACCTGTACATTACCACCTTTTGTATTTTTTGGGGGGGAGGGTCTACAGGGTGTTTAGGGTCTCACTACTAGATTAGACTCATAGTGATTCTCCTGTTTATAGCCTCCCGAGTGCTGGGATTATAGGCCAGCACCACCACACCCAGTCTCAATTCCAGTCTCAGTGCACCCAGGGGGCGGGGCCGGTTCGGTTCAGCAGAACCCAGCCCCTGCACCTGTTGGCAGGCAATTTAATCCGCTGAGCTATTTGGCTAGCCCAAAAGTGATTTTTTTTTTTTTTTGCAGAACTAGGGATTGAACTCAGGAACTTGCGCTTGCCAGGCAAGTACTTATTCTACTGAGCTAATACCTTTTGTATTAAAAGAAAATCAGTAACACATTTCGCCACAGGTTAACCACCAGTACAGTAATGCATTAAGGCAATCCATATTCAAAGACATCAAATGCATATTTACTGTGATACTGCCAAAATTTAGAAAGATCTTGCTTTTGTTTGTTAAAACAAAAAATTAATGAAAAAAACTGGACTACAGAGCGTATGCACAATTTCCACGGATGTTGGCTTCCAAATTCAGCAGGAAAGATGAAAATGAACTTAACCAGAGTATCCTAGAATGTCCCAAACACTACCCATGTTATGGTTGATACATTGCGTCAACCTAAGATTAGAAGACTAC